CCATATTTCACAAAGAAACTATGGTCTGGTATTCATTTGGATTGTGCGGGCTCTGTGAAGGGAAAATGTTCCTGATCATTGTAGATACATATTCCAAATGGTAAGATGTACATACTATGAATACAGTAACTTCAAGCGCTACAAGTGGAAAGTTGCGTTGCACATTTGCGGAACATGGCTTGCCTGACCAATGTGTGACGGGTAATGCCACCTGCTTCACCAGTTCAGATTTTGAAGAATTTATGACCAATAATGGCATAAAAACATCACCTCAGCTTCATAACATCTAACAACGAATGGCCAAGCAGAACGAGCGGTACATCCTTTTAAGAATAAAAGAAGGAGATATTGAAACATGGGTGTGCAAAATACTTCTACCACCACACTCAACCACAGCTATCACCAGCTGAACTGCTCTTGAAAAGAAAATTGACCATGAGACCATAGAGTACATCCTGACCTACAATTGTGCATGTACAAAAAACAAATGGTAATGAAGGGAAAGTATGATCAACATGCAAGGCAGAGGGAGTTTATGTAGGGTGACCTGATCTTTGTTCGCAGGGAAAATGGATCCCAAGGGTAGTTGACAAAAAGTCAGGACCTGTTTCAGTGCAAGTGCGAGTGTCGAACAGACAAATAGTCCAAAGACATGTCGACCATATACGTAAACAAATAGAGGCCAACCCTTGATGCACCTCCATTCACCTCCACTTTAGAATACAGGAAGCTTGTAGAATTTAACTTCTACATTTCAGTGGATCACACCTAAGTTTCCATAATGCTGTCATTAAACAACGTTCCGATTGAACAATAAATATGAAAATTGTATTTTGTTTATCTTGACGTGCAGTTCTAAAATCTTGCACAGCTAAACACATAGAGGCCCCAAACCAAATTTTCAGCAACTAACATATTTTGATTAATTCGATCATGTCAAGGTCATGTTTCCACCTATGCACAATGTTCAATTCAAAAATGCACCAAAAAGTGTAAACGTGTTTTAGAGTCTATCACGTAGTTCACATTACTTATAAATACTTTGCGACAGTTTCTCTCGGTCTATTCTATTCTCATTTACAAGAAATGTAAAGCTCTGTGGAGAATTTGTGTTTTTTCTCTTTGGGGAAAATGCTATAACATACACACACATGTATGTACATACGAACACTCACTCACTAACTCACACAGCGACCATCACACATTCATGCTAGTGAAGATCGTGAGAGCGACGCAATCGCCTACTAAGAACTACGTCACATTCTGAGGTTAAAAGTTACTCATTAACATAGTCCCAGCCTGCAGAAAATTCCCTAATTCACACAGCAGCTTTCGTTCATTTCTGCCAGTGACTTAACATTTAATTACACATGTTTTCCAGTGAGCATCGTGACCACAAACCAGTTGCTAAACATATGCACGTCACTTTATCATCTGAAGTTTTAAAGTTACCTTTTAACATAAATCAAACGTTCAGACATTCACACACTCAGCTTCATACTCAAATTTTATTTCACAGCAAAGTATTGCTTATCACTGCAAGTTCCCAATCACAGAACATTGATCATCTTCCGATTTATCATAAACAGCCCAATATTATTTCTGGACAAAAATACAGTCAAAGGTAACCTTTACCACAACTTCAGTTGCGCAAAAATTACATTTGAATTTTACAACACACAAAACTGTTTAATTTCTACATAAACAGATTAATACTTTCACTGACATTGTGAAAATTTTATCACAACAAATTTAACTCACAATCTTTCACTTTAACTCATAAACTACATTCTAAAACCCTCAAAAAGAGTTTATAAAAGATTCAAACAAACACCACAAAGAGTTCATTCACAAATCTTAATTTCATTTACAAATCCAGCATAAATCGTTGTATTTCTTATGCTATATAAATAAGAATTTGTTTGTTGTAATATAATATTATTTAGTGTTATTTTTCATTTTTGTTCATTGCTCTGTATTTCGTTGAAGAAGTAATTAAATGTGTTGAGGATTTTATGTTATTTTGAATACGCACCCGATTTCACTCTACAGATGGTAATCCCAACGTTGTCGAATTTGTTATTTCTCTGGTTGTTTCTTGGTACGTTTGTTGAAAGTAAAAATAGTACAGATTGAATTGAGGCCGTTCAATCCCCTACAGATTGGTGACACGACGTTCGATCTCCTACAGATTGGTGACACGACGTTCGATCTCCTACAGATTGGTGACACGACGTTCGATCTCCTACAGATTGGTGACACGACGTTCGATCCCCTACAGATTGGTGACACGACGTTCGATCTCCTACAGATTGGTGACACGACGTTCGATCTCCTACAGATTGGTGACACGACGTTCGATCTCCTACAGATTGGTGACACGACGTTCGATCTCCTACAGATTGGTGACACGACGTTCGATCTCCTACAGATTGGTGACACGACGTTCGATCTCCTACAAGCCCATCAACAGCCAAGTATCATCAAATGCTAATAGAAGAACCAAACCACCATAACGAGGCGCCAGTAGCGGTTCCCAGTCCTGTAACAAAGTATAGTACACCCCGTCAGACCCAAGAAGGTCAGAAGAGCCTGACTAGATACCTCCACAGGCAACACACCAAGCCCTCGTATCTGAGGGACTATGTTATACCTGTAACAGTCATGTAATGGGAAGTATGAATTTTAAGGAGGAGAAATATGGTATGTGCGATACAGAGCTGTAGGAGTTGTTCCCCTTTATATATATATATATATACTACAAAAAGATGTGGGGTTTGTGACATCATTATAGGAGGAAACTCCTGCACTTTTGAAACCCCAAAACGACATTCATTCATAATAAGCAAAAATTTAAACTGCAACTCCAAAAATCTGATTTATGCACTCAAATCCACAAAATGCAAGAAGTCATATATAGGTATCAGCCAACAACTAAATAACAGGGTCTCCCTACACAAAAGCAACATAAAATTAGCAGACAACAGAAAAATCTTTGTATCACAACATATCTATAAATGTAACCATATACCAATATATCAAACAGACAATTATTCTTACCTACAAAGAAAAAAAAAACTTCATAAACAAATTTAAACCAGCACTAAATAACCCCACACGCAAAAACATACAACATGCACACATAAAGGCCAAATACAGTGGTCAAACCACTCGTATGCATGGCCACATTGCTCACACGCGGGTATCTGTGAAGCACGAATATGTATACACATATTAGCAAAATAATAGACTACTCACAGACACGCGCGCAAACCCTACACAACATAGGAAGTGTGTGTATGTGTATGTATGTATATGTGTGTGTATGTGTATGTATAGGTGTGTTTATGTGCGTATACTAATTCCTTATAATAAGAGAGTATGTATGTATAGAGAGGGAGTGCACGTATACATACACGTATTGATATATACATATATATGCACATATTGGCAAAAAGAAGACTGCACACGGGAACACACGCAACCCTACACAACATTGGCAGTGTGTTTGCTTGTGTGTGTGTATGTATGTGTATGTGTCTGTGTGTGTATATGTATATGTGTATATATGTATATATTAATTCCTTATAATAAGACAGTATGTATGTATGGGGAGGGAATATACATATACAGACCCATGCTGCCACCCCCCCGACCCCCCAAAAAACATCAGGGATCATTAAAAGATAAGAATACAGATATCTTTCTCACCCGGACCAATCTTAATTTTTTTATTACGCTTCATGCAGAACTTTTTCATTGTCAGTTCAAGGAAGACTTTTGGGTCACTAACACAAAAAAAAAGAGAATGTCTAATATCGAGAATATTTAACATAAAAAAACATAAGAAAAATAAATTCCTTTTAATAATATGTGTAAATATCCACTCTTTGCCTGATGGAGGTTGTGAGACCGGAAACACGTGTAGTAAAATTATGGAAAATAAAGCATAATATATTTTTTAAAAATTCCACATTACAACCAAAACCGTTTGCACTTTCTCTCTTCTTTTTAATATACACACTTTCCTCTCATTGGAACTACTATAACCTCTTCGTTTATATATATATATATATATATATATATATATGTGTGTGTGTGTGTGTGTGTGTGTGTGTGTGTGTAATAGGCACAAAGCCATGTTGTAAATAATCCTGTTTTGGAACTCTCCAAGAAACGTATTTTTAAATAATTTATATGTCTTCTTTGCTTAGCCTAAATCTAATTGGTATTAAAAGAAAAATTCATTTCTGTATGTAAATAAAGTTTTAGGTATTTTTAAACATTGGCACATTCACTTGTCACTCAGCAACACTTTGAACTGCCATTCGACTGCTATCTGATTGGTTATTGTTATAGAATTTATTTAATATTTTATTATTGTGTGAATTAGTAAAATGTTATTTGTGCAGGAGTAACTAATTTTTAAGGTTTTTCTAATAGAAATTTTACTAATTGGGTTATTTCTGTTAAAATGTTTGTCAATCAATTTCAGAAAGTATTTCTGCCAACTATACAATATAAATAACAGTCAATACCAGATAGCAAAATCCTCTTTAATTTTAGAATCAAAAACAACTGCCCAGTTGGAGATATATCTAAATCCAAAAATGTTATATACCAAGCAAATACTTTCCCTAAAGAAAATGTAAAAATAAATATATAATATAAATATATAATATAAATATTATTTATTTCTTTATTTTGGTAGAATTATTTTATTGTCATTCCTTTTAGTTATTGATGCTAAATGCATGTATAGATAAATTACAAAATTACATGTTTATATTTTGAGGAAAATCGTAAAATACGGAAAAAAATTATAGTTTTCAAATTAAATTAGTATTTACTTTCCTTTTCTATCAAAATTGCTAATCTGCCAAATCTTGTCTATTGCAAACTGAATACCATTGTCCGCTCTCTCTTTCTCTCTCACACACATACACATATGCATAAATGTATATATTTTGTCATCATGTGAGTTGATATTTTTCACTTACCACTGAATTGTCAATATTTGCTTGATAAAAGTTATTTCGTATCTTCTTGACCCTTTCTTTTTTCATTTCCCGCTGTGAATTGAAACAATTAGGGAAAATTATATTTTAACTTGAGAAATGTTCAAGAAGAATATCACAACAAAAAAGTCTTAAAAATGCACTGAACAAAATGTCTGCCAAAACTTACTTGAAACAATTTTTGCACTGATCTATTTTATGAATATACATTTATAGACATGTACAAATAAAATTTAAGCACACATGCATATTGATGGGACTTCTAAATATGCAGAAATAATTAAAAGCAGACTTGGTGTCACCATCACATGGGCATAGTAATAAGCACACCATATGACTTTCTCAACCAATGGGAACATGATCAAAAAATATTAAAATTTGGCTTTCGCTTGGAATCTATCTCTGGCCTATATAAGAATAGACCAAAATCCACACAAGACAACACACACAGCAAGCACACACAGGAATGCTCATCAGTCATCACAGCAAGTACACACAGATGCACATGCAGTACATTTACTTAATCATACCATGCTGAAGAAAGTTTCTCATTTGGGATCTCAGCCATACAGAGCAATCAACCCAAGCTAGATAAAATGGTATTTATCAATCCACCCACGGGGATCGAATGTGGCACAAGGCCTTTTTAATGTGGGTATCTCTGAGCCCGTAGGCCCAGCCAAAAATAAATAACCATCCAAACCCGACGAGGCGGGCCAGTTCCGTCAACCTCCCCCAACGAAACCCTACCCTTCGACAGACACCCGACCCGGCAGCTCACAAAGCGCAGATACTACACTTTGATCCTAGCCACCGGGCCGAGCTAGATAAAATACTCACCTGAACACTCAACTATGTTGACCGTAGAAAAAGAAACTTCTTAAGTGAGTTTCACATATATGTAAATATATACTTGCACACATACATATATATATAAATCTTCACACCTAGATATATTACATACACATTCATGCATTTGTACATACACGTACATTTGTTTCCCAAACTTTATTTCTCTAGACTCTGTGAACTCTCTTTAACCCTTCTGAGAACACCATTTGTCTTTTACTCAATTGCTATTAAATTGTATTCAAATTTTCTCAATAATTTTTTATCCTTAATTTTGAACATTTGAAGGATTGTTTATTCTTTTTTCTCTCTCCTGCTATTGGCTGAAACAACATCTTTCCTTTTCTCCTAAAGGGATTATTAGTAAATGTCTTCATTCAGCTGTCAAAACAAGGCCAACAACAATCAACAGTATCCCATACAACAATATCCTAGGATAATATCCATAAAAATTACTTGATTACTTATGGCATTTCTGCCATGATCAGAGTATAGTATCTGTAAGCTATGTGAAAAGTGATATACACAGAAATATCAGCATTTTCCATTGAAATCTTCCATGCTCATGAATAAAAATATTTCAGTTTAAAAATGTTTAACATGGCAATATTATTAAAAGAAAAAACTAATTCAGTTAATTGGCTTAAGAAAATATTTTACCTTACTTAATATCCCATTAAGATGCTACTGTTTGCATTTTAGCCACTATTAATGTTATACTGATGGCATTGTAAAATACAATATTTAAAATATATTTAAATTAAGCAAAGAAGCATGGTATTGCATAAGAAATATTTTTCATCAGCAATACAGCATTTTATTTGTTTTCATCAAGTATATATAAAGTCATTATTTTTAAAAGTAAAATGAAATTTTCACTTATTTCTCTATTAAAATATATGAATTGGTTTCTACATTTCAATTACAAAAATGCACCTTGAACGTATTAATGATAATTTTACAAATTACACAAATCAAGGATTAATCAATGTATAGTCAAATAGAAATCAGTGAAAAATTAATGGAGAAAATCAATCCTTTCTGTTTTGCTTTTTCCAATTAAATTCAGGCTGAATGTAAATGGTAGTAGCAGTGATAATTGCAATTACAGCAGCAGAAAAACAAAAAAAATTAAATATAAAATGCAAAGCATTGTTTGGTTTGAAAACATGTCCAAATAAGTCATAACATTCTTGCATTCTACATACAACTCATTAGATGGCCATCCAATTCTTATAATGGCAACACAATTAAGCATTAGATTGATTTACCTTTATTCTGTTAGTGATACCACTTTCTTTGTTATAGCCAAGCTCAGTGTCCAATGGTGTTTTTCTGAAGAGTCTTTCTCTCTTAATCACCTAAACAGAAATGTAAAGCAGTTAAATATTTCTGGAAATTTCCTGCAGTGTATCATTATCTGATTGACCCCAAGAAAAATCAATTCGTTTTCTTTCTTATTTTATTAACTTCAATAAGATGAAAGTATATATTAACAGAAATGAATTTAGTATTTGCTACATTTCAAGCTTTGAGTTCAAATAATAAGACCTCATTAATCATATAAACTAGATTTTTGAAGTACAAAATGATAATGAATTTGTCTATCAATAGTTTTAATTCATTAAGTTTATTTTAATTCATTTTATTGAAATTTTATTTGCATTTTATAGTAAATAATAATGTGGTTATAAATAGCTTAGCTTAAAAAAGTAAAAAAAGAATATAATTGAGTTATACTGGTTTTCCAAGTTGAGGAGCGTACACAAGCTTTGAAAATCAGTATTCAAAAGATTGACTTTGATAGAGACTCAAAAACTGACTATGTGTGAATTTACAAACAGACTTAGAGGTGATTATTTTGATACGAATAGAAACCAATTGCATGATTTCTTATAAGCAACATTTCAGTATCAATATTTTATTAAAAATCAAATCCTGCTGAAAAAATTTACTTCATTTTCAATAATTTTTGTTCAGGAATGAAAAAAAAAAATAATCAAAAATTATATTTACCACATTTTCTTCTGCTGTGTCCATCTTTTTTATTTGGTTAATATTTTGCAAATCTTTTTCCATATTTTTCATGAAATCGTTAATACAAAAATCAGTGGGAAGTGTACCATTGAATGATTCTTCTATCAACAATTTTTCAAGCATACACATCATCATCTGAAAAATGGAATATTTGAAATTAAAGTATAAAATAAATAGTAACATAAATAAGCTTAATTATCATGTTTAAAAGTAATTTCCAATTTCTGTTATTGAGCACCAAAGTGTTTTGAAATTATTTTGGGTACACTCCTATTATTTTTAAATGCACAATATTCAATAATATTAGTCTGCTGAGAAGGGGAACAAGAGTAAAGCATAAAGCATAAAGAGTGAATTCTGATTCACCATAAGTTTGCACTAAATTGGCTCTTGTACCTCAAAGATTTAAATGAAATTTTCCAAGTAATTTAAAAACAAATTCATTTATTTACTCATAAAATTAGGAAGTAAATTGTAATGATAACCTATACAAATCAATTATCATGTTTAGAAACATCATGTGCTTGTTCTGATGAAAAACTTTAATGGGGGTAGAGGATGCTGATGCCACTGTAACACAACCCTTGTTACCTTGCTTCTTCCAGTGACTTTTTTAGTTCTCACATATGAGCAAGCTAGTCTCAGTACCTGAAGTCTCAGACAAATACAATTTTTCTGACTCGTGGAGGAATTCTGTTGCCTTGATTTCTGAGTAAACAAGACATATACACTTGGAGTATCATGCCTGTATCTTCTTTCCTAGATTATTTGTCCTTTCATTAAGGGTACTGGATTTTCATGTTATCTACCTGATAGGGATCTGAGCCTTTGAGCAACTTTGAAGGAGGCTATCCTATCAGCAGGTGTATAATATTGGTATAATAGTACTGCTATTTTGTGAATGGATCCTGAACTGTTCAGTCATCTCCAGTGGAGCCTCTTGATTCCAGGATGAAGGGTACTGCTACAGCTGTATCTCCAGAAGATTCACTTCAGGTTATTGATGCATGCATCTCGTATGAGTGTGACTGTATCACTATCTAGTCTTCTACCAAACACACTTATTTACACATAAATATAACTAAAATGAACAAAAATATCAAACCCAACCTCAAAAAAATAAAAGGAGACCCTAGGTTCACCATCTTCTACATCAATGTGAAAAGTCTACATTCCAACTTTTTAGAGGTGTAACTCCATCTTCTTGATGCAAAACCTGACCTCCTATTCCTGTCCAAAACTGGTATTGGTAACTATCCCACTGCAGGAGCTTGCAATCCCAGGCTACTCACTCCTAATAACTAAAATAGAGGACCTGAATTTCCTGTATATATGTTTCCACACGGTACTTACCCATAGTAATCCCTTCATTTTAACCCTGAATTGTCCTCAGGATAATGGAAGTGTAATTTTCACCAGAATATCTGAGATGATTGACAATGTCCTCACTAAAATTCCTTTGGTTAGCTTTCATATTTGTGGTAGCTTCAATATTCACCACAGACATTGGTTAGCCGACTCTAACAAAACTGATGAAAAAGGTAGACCAAGTTTGAAAGGAAACAAATTAGATCCTGAGAATTCTAGAAGATCTCCAACCAAATTCTGAATAGACACAAAGCATCAGTGCCTACTATTATAAATGACGCTGAGATCATCTCATCCTCATCAAATATGGCAAAACTCTTGCTATGATCTTTACCTCTAACTGAACATTAGATGTTAAAAACCATCCCCTTCCTGACTTCTCCTGTTTCACTGTTATCCTTGATCTTAAAAAAATTATTTAACCACTGCTTGTGGGAGAAATCCTTCTCAAGTCTGTGAAAGTGTATGCCCAGTTAGCAAGAATACAGGTGGGTGCTCATCTTCATCATAGTATAAATACATCAGTGTCAGTAGCAAACTCTTTCAAGCTTTGCTTTTTGGTTGAACCCTCTTCCTATTTTACATAAATGATTTACCTCAGATCATATGCCTATCATTTATGAATATCTATGATGATAATACAATGGTTTATGGGTGCACCTGCAAAACCCTAGATGACTAGAGCTTGGCAGCTGATCTCTTCTCTGACCTAGCTCTCACAGATCAGTTTAGAGAAAACTGGTCAATTACATTCAATACCTCGAAAACCAAACTAGTGACTTTATACAATCACTGACTGGACTCAGAACTTTCACCAATCACAATGAACTATTGTTCCCTCAGAGAGGCGCCATGCCTTGAGTGCCTGTTGTATTCCATTGGTGAGATGTAAGTTCAATTTGAGCAACTTCTTCCCACAAACAAAAGATTTTGTTTAATGAACAGATTAAGTTTTGTTATCAAATATATACATTTATAACAATATTTATTGAGAAACATATATGCATTAACTAAAGCACAGTAACACACACAGAAGAATAAACTATCAGTTTATCTATACTATGTCAGATTTTATTATGCAAGTCAATGTTTTTCCAATATCATTTTTATTAACTGATTGGTGAGAGTAAAGTTTTATAATATATCTATGATAAATACAATATATGAATTTCAGCTTATCTATTTTATTAAAAATATTTACAATAACAAACTGTAGAAAGGATGTAATGAAAAATTACAGTTACACAGAAGTGTTTGAAGTTAGAAGCATGGTTGCCTGGATATGCACACAATGATGAAAATCATGTACATAAATGTCTGTAACGTAAGGAAACAGAACTTAGCTCTCGCATTCATATGAACCATGTACACGTTCGCAGTGTGGGATTGTGCTTTATTTTGCTTGACTTTTTCTGGATGCCCTGAAGATGTTCATGTTCACAATAAGTAAACTAGTTCAATAAGGCAGCATTATGGGTAATATATGCTAGGAATGGAGTATCAAAAACATTAGTGTCAGATAATGCCCTATAATTTTCTGATGAAAGTCTGAATGTATCCCTTATAAAACCCCACCATATCATCTTCAATCAAATGGAATTGTAGAAAGAATGGTTCAGATTATAAAAATGGGATTGAGAGCATTTTCTGCATAACAAGATGAGATTGGTAGATTATTACCAAGGCTATTATTTAGTTACAGAACTATACATACTGACAGATTAGAAAATCCATTTGCATTAATGGTGATAAAATTAGAGCCCCATTAATCATGTCATATTCCACTAATGAAAAAATGTGGTATGGAAAAATTGAGAATCTCTGCTTGAAAGGGCGAATTTTGTAATGCAGAAGGCACACGATACAGCACTAATAGTTAAAAAAGGCAATAATATTCTGGACCATGTGGATCAAATAAAATCCGTACAAGAATATGAAGGGAAGATGGAAATTGAGTTAGGAAGCTAGTCCAGCTCGGACACTATAAACCCACAGGAAATGAGTGATGAGGATTCAATGATGATTCAAACATCGATTGTGATGAGCAGGACTTCACCAACAAATGAGAGAGATTTAGATCTACCATAGAGTAAACTACACACAGATCTGTAGAGAAAGAGAAAGAAGGAAGTCAAAATAAAAATACAAATAGACAAAGGAGCCTGAGATAAATGGGTATAAAGCCTGTTTGCTTCAAAGAAATAGTGGTTGGTTAGGGTTAGCAACTAATTAGAATATGTTCAATAGTTGTTATCATATAGGCTTACTATGTAAAGGTAGTGGCAATGATATTGGGTCTGTAGAACTAATACTGATTGCATACAACTGCAATCCCTACTTGGAGTATCATAACAAAGAGAAACAAGACATTGTAAAGTTATTGAATGACTGGAACACAATTTTGGAAACTGAAAAAATTGAAAAGAGATCACAAGACAACCAAAAAGGAATTGAAACACTGGCAAGAAAAACTGAATGTCACAAAAGAGTTTTGATAAAAGTTAAAAGATTAAGATTAATCAAGAAAAGTAGACTAACATGAAAATATTTGAAGCTGGTGTTGTGAGTGAAAACAGAGGGAAAAGATGCAGAATATAAAGAAAACATTCACCAAACAAATGAAAGCCACCAAAAATAACATCTTTAAACAAAAACGTCAAGAGAAACATGTAAATTGAGTGAAAAAGTATGTGAAAACTGATTTCTCATCACTAATTTTTTAATGATGAATATAGAGCTATATTAGTTGAACCTGATGACTGGATAGGGGTTGAATTCTTCATGCAAATAGTCAACCAATATGACTTAGAAAACAACAGGAAGGGAAGTACTGTTATGTTGTTGATTTGTATATGATGAGGATGGTGTTAAGATAAATGCAAAGAATAATTTTTGAGTGACACAGGTCACAAGCAAGAAAGTTTATGCTTATAAGTATATTGATGCATGATGATACACTTTCACATTCATCAAGTCATCTATTGCCTACCTTGTCAAAAAGGCTTTAACAACACCAAATTAATGATATTCCCCACCAGACTCTCAGGATATTAATTAACATGTGTTCTGCCATTAAGAGATGTATATGAGAATAGAAAACTATATTCTATCAAAGATTTCTCAAAAGCAATAAAAACTGCTGCAGGAAATGTTAAAACATTACAAGTTAACAAAATCAATGAATGACAGCTGGATGAATGTTATAGGATTCCAAGAAAGCCACATTAGCCTGTAAATGAATTTCTTCAGGTATAGGGAATGAAGTAAAAGAATAGTTAGAATAGGTTAACTTGGTAAATGAATGTGAAAAACCTACAGTCTGATTTTGAAAGTGAAATTTACTTTTCATAATTAAATGCATGAAGAAAATGAGATTTGGTCATAAGATGTTCACAAAGAAATCAAGATGCTTTAATGTTTACCCAAAGACAAGAAAGTCAGAAAAAATAGCTCAAAGGAAATAGAATTATCTTGATGACATTGTTAACTTTCTAGGCCAGGAAATAAAACTTAGATGGGACTAGATAGATAAAAACTGGATAAAGATTCTTTGTAGACAAAATGATGGTTTGATGAGCATTAATTTTTCCTCCCATGAGATGGGCAAGTAATTCTTGTAAAAAAAAAGAAGCTTAATATTGTGTGGGTAGATTGAAAATGTATAATGGAGAAAATTTGACCAGGTAATGTTAATTGGTTGACAAGCTATTTTATTGTTATAATCAGCATAGAGTAGAACAAAGAAGGATTAAAATTTTAACAAGCATGTATTGATCAATTTTCAGAGTATGTATTTACCTAATGTTCAATGCCAATGTAATTGTGTGAAATGATAACAAAATTGTTGATATGTGGTTCTTTAGTTGCTGTTGGTAAGGGAAGTGATTAGGCATAAGGGTGTTTTTGGTAAAGCCAGCAATTGATGGATTTGTTGAGTTGGTTGAGTGAGGTCACAATGGTGATGATGAAAGAGGCCTGGAATTAATTAGTAAAGCTTCATGATAGCACAAGTAGGATGTCATTGGTAGGGTTGATCCATCAAGCCCCAGGGTCAAAATCAATACTAGTGAGGTGTGTAGATGGGTTCAGCAGCAGTGTAATGATGTCGACATGTTGAGCTGAACTGCCTGTTGTTGGTGAGGTGTGCCATTTTTATATCTATGGTTTAACAGGTGCTCACTTCCAGGCTCAATATATATAGCAATATGAGCCCTCACTAAAATTGGTAGTAAGTGGTTTTTCAATCAATGGGCACATGAAAATCTGGAAGAAGTTTTAAACAAGCCAAATTTAGAGAAATTTGGAAAATTATAAATTATGAATTTTGGATAATAATAAATCATAATAATCCAAGACCATCTATCCAATATAAGCAGACTGATTTAGGCCCTTATGCAGTTGAAGTCCAGTTGCAAGAGACTGCAAGTTGATTCATCACCTCTTTTTGTCACTCCATTTGCAATGATAATGGCCCAGAAGATTAAGCTAACCAAAGAAAATCTACCTCAGCTTAAATTTCTATTTACAGATAGACAATCTAGTGGAAATTTTGGAGACCAGGTTTTGGAAACTAATATTGTAAGCAAAATTTTCTTAATTGACTCATTCAACTGACTTATCAGTCACCAGTCCAAGGCATTGCTGTTGTTCTTGCAATAAATTGAGAATGATGTTATTATAATTATTTTCTATTTTAAAAATATGGTTCCATTGCTACACAAGAATTACCATGTTTCAAAACAGAAACTAAATGAATGATGTTATTATCTACTAACTCACCAACCAACAGATAATTGGGAAAACCACAACAGTGCAGAAGGGTTAAATTGATTATTTTAAAAATTAAGCTATGTTATTCCTACAAGGCTTTAAAATGTAATGAAAATGATGTTTTTTCTTTTTCATGTGTCTTTGTTCCTTTGTTTCAACCAGCTTGGCCTATGACTTCCTCAAATCCAAATCTTAAAAATAATGTGGGTGGGGAAGATCTGTAGAGGGACCCTATTTTAAAACGCAAACAAGCATAGAGAATAATAATACATGTACTGAACATAATAATAATAAATATAAAAAATGGTTTTACTTTTTCTTTCTCACTGTTTTGATCTTTTTCAATTTTCTCCAAAACTTCAATGTCTTGTTTGGTCACTTCTTCTAATACTGCATCACTGTGTGTATGAGAGAGAAAGAAATCATTTATTAGTATCTAAAAAGAAAGTAAAAAATACACTCATTGCATGGCTGAATTAAACTACTGTGAATTCTGTATCATATATATATATATATATATATATATATATATATATATATATATATATATGTGTGTGAAAAGTGTGTGTATATAAATATAAATATCAATATATATATATATATATAATTATTTATATACTATATGCGCAGTACATATTAGAAAGTGCTCAATATCAGAGATAGAGCTAACAGCTACACTTCCAATCTTTGAATTTCAACATACACATGCGTATGTATAGACACAACACCACCCACATACAGATTGTCTACATATGTCAATATCTGTATGAGTTCCGGCGGACGAGTAAGTGTATATGTGTGTCTGCTTACCTCATCTGATGTACGGACATGCATCTATGTTTGCGTTAGCACGATGACATCACGACGACGATTCCCCCCCCCCACTTCCATAATAACACCAATACACGCAATCTACATTAACCCAAAATTTAAAAAAAATAATCAGTTTGTCTGACGATCGCAAAAGCGTGAAACCCAGGGTAACAAACTCACATCAATCCAACCAAATATATATATATATATATATATATATATATATATATATATATATATATATATGTATTGATGCATTTCATTAAATAATATAGACAAGTTTTGTCTATTTATTTTATGCAAATGCCTTTCATATCGTCTGATAAGCTTAATAATATTATCATTGAAAGACGAAAGAAAATCACCTAATCCTATCTAAGCTTTCGGCTTACATAAGCCATCATCAAAGATGACACTAACATTACAATATATTAAACATGTCACGGACATGTCAATAATGATAGTTTTTTTTTGTTTGCAAGGAAGATTTCCAAGCAACGACAAACTCGTGCATGGAAGCGAAAATAGCACCGCGTCTCCTGACGTCACACATGATCACGCGAGAGTGAAAAGTATAAGAAGCCGTTGGTATAAACCAATGGCTTCTGTTATCAATTATAGGCATTTGAGTATATTTGTGGAGTTTTCATAGTTTATTTTGTTCCGGTTAGGTTTCAACTGTTTTATGTATATAGCTTCAAGAATTTTTAGTTTTTGTTTATTGTTTTCATGTTTAACTGTAGTTGTCTTTTCCACAAGGATTTTCCGGAATTGTGTATGCGGCCAGGCCTGTTGTTTTAAATGCCTAAAACTGTTAGAGTTATTATTCAAATGTAGAGTCAAGCGTCGTGAAAGCAAGTTTGTGGTGTGACCAACATAAATATTATTTAATCCGTTGGAGATACAATGTCCAAGAGGGCACTTGAATTTGTAAAATATGTTGTTTTTTTGCAAATCGCTAACGGGGTGGGAGGAAGAATTATTGCGAATAATTGAGTTGGATATACTAGATTTAGTGTAGTATATGATTAACTTAATTTTTTTGCTAGGACCCGTTGTAGATATATTAGTATTTTAGTATATTTTCATCTTGTTTATAATTAGTATACATTTGATTACGATATAGGAGATTAATATGTTTGGGATTAGTAGAAGCAGTATTATGTTCTATTTGCTTCTAAGAAAGCATCTGATTTGTTCATCAACTATATAGTTTGGAAAGCTATTATTAATAAGTGTTTGCTTTATATTTTTTACTTCACTGTAAAAAATATTTTTTGTGGATGAATTAGTTTCTGCACGATGTATTAGATTTTTTACAATTGCTGTTTTGTAATATTATGGACTTTCGCTCTTGTAGTTAAGTATACACGAATTTATGCTGGTAGGTTTTTTTATATGGTGAAATAGTAAATTTGTTATTATTTGTGTTTATCAATATGTCAAGGAAGGGAATTTTATTATTAGCATTGAGTTCATAGGGGAATTTAAGGACAGAATTATGTTAGAAACGTTTTTGTATCTTTAACTAACATAAGGATATCATCAACATATCTTAGGTAGATGGATGTTTTTTTAAAATCTGTAAATATCTTATTTTCAAAGTTCAACATGTAGAAATTGCTAAATATTGAACCCATTACTGAACCCATGGAGACACCACCACGTTGTATATATATATATATTATTATTAAGATTTAAGAAAGGGATTTCAGTCGTACAAGCTAATAGTAGTTTCCGTAATATATTAGGATTAATTTTAAGTAGGGGTAAAGATGAGTTACTGTATATATTTCTTATAATTATGCCAATATAGTTTCGCTAACAGGGATATTGGTAAATAAGTTTTGAACATCAAGTGAAGCTATGATTTCATTGTTGGGTTTTTCACATTTTAGGATTTGGATTACTTCTAATGTTGACTTAACATTATATTAACTAGGAAGGTAGGGAGTAATGAGTTGGTTAAGGTATTTTATTAGCTCATCTACAGGAGTTGGAATTTGCGATATGATAGGATGGAGAGGATAGTTAGGTTTATGTGTTTTTATAGTGCCATATATGTAATCAGGTCTATAATCACTAACAATTTTAGGGAGTTTTAAGGAGTTCAGTTCAGCATTATTAGCATTAATGAGTTTATTAAGCTTTGATTTTAGTTGGTTGGTCGGGTTCTTGTTAAGTCTTAAAAAACTTTATGCGATCATGGAATATGTAGTCAAGTTTTTTGTTGTAATCCAATTTGTTTGATGATGGCTTATGTACGCCGAAAGCTTAGATAGGATTAAAAAAACATGTATCAATATGGTGATTTTCTTTCGTCTTTCAATGATAATGTTATTAAGCTTATCAGACGATATGAAAGGAATTTGCATAAAATAAATAGACAAAACTTGTCTATTATTTAATGAAACATGCATCAATGAAAAAATGCTGCCTAAATACACACACACAATATATATATATATATATATATATATATATATATATATATATATATATAGATAGACAGACAGAGAGAGAGAGAGAGAGAGAGAGAGAGAGGGAGAGAGATATTTAATAGGCTTGTTAATGAAATTTGAAGAATAAAAAGACAACAAAATCTGTACCATATGTTATAATGGAACTCTATATTTAAAAAAAAATTCTCAGAAATGTTAAGAAAAATATTTATATTAAAATATGGAATTATTTTATTATGCAATAAGCTAATTCCATATTTTTCATTAGATAAGACAAATATCACACTTCATTTATAGTATTATTTACATGTGGGTATGCATTTCAAATGTCAAAAAAATTATAATTTCAAAAGTTACATTATTTAGTTTTAATATGAACAAATATATATTGATAATACTGGAAATGTCTATTTCAGCAAAAGTTTATTCCAGAGAGCTCTTTTTCAATCTGTTTTAATCCATGGTACATCTTAGTTTTAGTTAATCCTACTCAGTTTGGAAATGGAGATCCCTTTGGGATGACTGCTTTGAAATTTGGAATTCTCACAAGAAACATCTGGGTATGGGAGGAGTAGCTATAGTGTTCGTATTGCTGATTTAAACGTGAGGTTGTCTGGTTGGTCAAACATATTTTCTTTGAGATGATTTTCATCTGCTTGGGGTGTTGCATTTTGATCTGGCCATTAAAGGCTTGGGTCAAGTTTAATCCTCACCATGGGCCCTAAAACGTGCTCTTTACTTCTCAAGATTTAAGCCTTTATCCAAGCTGTTTTGTTTGTCAATGACCGTCACTTTTGAATTTAACTGCTGAATCTGAAACTACAAAGTTTTTACTGCACAAGGACATCAGCTAGCCTGTGTTCATTTTGGAATTTATTTTTCCATCATGTTACAAGTGCCAATGTATTTATCATCCTCAAGCTTTTGCACTTCATAAGCTTAATCAGCTGACTGACAAAGTAAAGTTGTCTTGCAACATTTGCGGCAATTAATCATATTTTGACATGGCCAGCTGCCTTGTCATGCCCTTTGTGTCCCCTTTGACATGGTCTCCTGCCTTGTTATGTTATTTGTGTCCACTTTGACATGGTCCGCTGTCTAGTCATGCCCTTTGTGTCCACTTTTCATGGTCTGCTGCCTTGTCATGCCCTTTGTGTCCCCTTTGACATGGTCTGCTGCCTTGTCATGTTGTTTCTGTCCCATTTGACATGGTCTGCTGCCTTGTCATGTCCTTTGTGTCCGCTTTGACATGGTATGCTACCTTGTCATGCTCTTTGTGTCCAATTTGACAAGGTCCGCTGCCTTGTTATGTTATTTGTGTCTACTTTGACATGGTCCGCTGCCTTGTCATGGAAATTGTGTCCACTTTGACATCGTCCGCTGCCATGTCATGCACTTTGTGTCCACCTTGACATGGTTTTCTGCCTTGTCATGCCCTTTGTGTCCACTTTGACATGGTCTGCTGCCTTGTCATGCTTTGTTATGTTATTTGTGTCCACTTTGACATGGTCCGCTGCCTTTTGATGCCCTTTGTGTTAACTTTGACATGGTCTGCTGCCTTGTCACGCCCTTTGTGTCCACTTTGACATGGTCTGCTGCCTTGTCATGCTCTTTGTGTCCACTTTGACATGGTCTGCTGCCCTGTTATGTTATTTGTATCCCCTTTGACATGGTCCGCTGCCTTGTCATGCCCTCTGTGTCCACTTTGACATGGCCTGCTGCCTTGTCGTGCCCTTTGTGTCCACTTTGACATGGTCTTCTGCCTTGTCATGCTCTTTGCGTCCAATTTGATAAGGTCCGCTGCCTTGTTATGTTATTTGTGTCCCCTTTGGCATTGTCCGCTGTGTGGAACACACCTATTCTATAGTTAATAGACTCTCCCACCTATAATAAGTAGGAGTAGTAAGTGTAACAAGTCAGTCAGTCGATGTCGGACGACCGTTAGTCGGATATTAAAATATAACTAGATTTCTCTGCATCATTACCTATTATATCAAGTTCATAACGTTTTGTTTGTACGTCAAACCTATTTTATGACCGACTTAGTACAAATACAAGCCTCCACTGTGAAACCACTCTACAACACTTGGCGACGACGATTCGAACTCATATGGAGGAAGAAA